CCCCCAAAACCCCAAAACCCCAAAACCCCAAAACCCCATGATTCATTGATATCTTTAAATCAATGATTGAAAATCTAAGATAATTAATAAGATTTGAAGGATATATCTAATTCATCAATGGTGGAATAAACTACGCAAGATTACACAGATCTCAAATACATGGTAACAAGAAAACTTTTTTCAACTTTTCAGGCTGGCTTTGGAAATCACTTTGAAACTGAAGCTGAGGAGGGCGCTCTACCGAAGGGTTAAAACTCTCCACAAAAATGCCCATTAGGATTATATGCAGAACAACTATCTGGAACTCCATTCACGTATTCCAGACATAGAAATTAAAGATCGTATGATACCAATTATGATAAATCTATTTCCTTATAGCTGGACATATCGCATCTGGCCCACTGTGCTACATAAGCCATTCAAGACTTGTGATACAGATAGATTCAAGAACTGGTTGACAAGTTTCGATAGAGATGACAGTAGATTGCATGTATCGCCAGTTTAGTATAGATGGAGTGCATAAGAGATCCCAACCGACAGAGAAGTAAACTTCTTTGAAGGTATTCAAACTATGGCTGGTGCTGGAGGCCCAGAATTGAAAGTATTATATTGCCTGAGTTAAATATATATAGGATGGTATGTCGATTCACTTGTATGCTTGCAATAAAAGCATGTAGAAAGAGGCATTTTACTCTTCTGATGGAGATCTTTTGATTGTTCCCCAGCAAGGAGCTATTCTTGTAAAAACAGAGTTAGGTAGATTGAGAGTCGAGCCTTAGGAAATAGTTGTTGTACAAAGAGGAGTTAAGTTCTTGGTTGAGGTTTTAGAAGGCAATTCTAGAGGATACTTATGTGAGATCTTTAAGGGCCATTTCGTAATTCCTGATTTGGGGCCTATCGGATCAAATTGCTTAGCAAACCCTAGAGATTTTGAAACCCCAGTTGCATATTATGAGGATATAGAAGAAACTTGGACTGTGATAAATAAATTTCAAGGAAAGTTCTTCTCATTTGATATCCATCACTCTCCATTTGACATTGTAGCCTGGCATGGAAACTATGCTCCTTACAAATATGATCTAAGAAAGTTTAATACAATTGGTTCAATCTCATACGATCACCCTGATCCATCTATTTTTACAGTCTTAACTGCTTAAACAGATGATCCAGGCCAAGCTGTTTGCGATTTTGTTATCTTTCCTCCTAGATGGTTGGTTCAAGAGCACACATTCAGACCTCCATACTATCATAGAAATACTATGACTGAATTTATGGGTAATATTGCAGGAGTTTATGATGCTAAGGAGAAGGGATTCGGCCCAGGTTGCTCAAGTCTGCATTCAGCTATGAGTGGACACGGCCCAGATAGCGGAGTATTCGAAAAGGCTTCAAATGCAGATCTTAAACCCTAATTAGTAGCTGAAAACTCAATGTCCTTCATGTTCGAGACAGCTTATCAATTGAAACTCACTGATTACGCTGTTGATGATAAGCATGTTGATACAGAATACTATAAATGCTGGGAGAATCTCCCTAAACTATTCAAAAAGTGAAAGTAACTAATCATTGCGATATCTAATCTAATCTTTTTTATCAAACATTAATTCCTTAATCATAAAAAATTCTATGAATTTATATTGAAATCAAGATGTCATGGGGTTTTGGGGTTTTGGGGTTTTGGGG